ATTGATCTCAACTTAAGAGAAAAGCTTTTCGCTCATTTTATTTAATATTTTATTATAATTAATACCATGGCTTTTAGTTTTTTTAGTAGCTTAGTTGCATCATTTAATAAATTCAATCCTTCAGGTGTTTTATTTAATTTGCTTTGATATTATTGTCTGGTGGCTGTTGTAATTAAGGTTAACATAAATTGTGTAACACTATAATGAACTTATTTGAAATTCTTTGTTAAAGTTTTGAAGAAGCTGAATTACTATAATTTTTTCAATATTACAATAATAATAGTAAGTATAAAGAAAATAGGTATGTATATTCAATAGGTAGTGAAAATTATTTGTATTTAATTACAAAACAAATGAAGAGGATGACGTTTTTAGTGTGCCAAACAATTTAATATTATATATGTATATTATTAATTTTAATTTAATCTGTTGTAGTATAGTTGATCCAGTAATAAATAAGTAAATAACCACTGTCCACCTCAACTTGTAAGTTATAAATTATGAACCATTGTAGGTAATGATAAAATAATATTAGGTATTTATGTACAGTTTAATAATTATATATATTATAATTGTTTTCATCATTATTCATGATCATTATTCGGTAATCATAAAAAAATTTAATATTGCATGATTATTTAAAGTTCTAAAAAAATATATGTAGGTGGACCTTTAGTTTAAGAATGTGAAGGTATATTGTATATCAGTGAATGTGCATATAATTGTTCAAAAGTATTGGCGACATTAAAAATTGTAATTGTAATGTATTTTCATTGACTGGCAGCTGTTATAGAAATTGTCAACAAATAACAATTTGAAACTATCAACCTGATAAACAATAATTTGAATCATTTTTATTCCAGGCACAATAACAGTGAATACATTGTGGCTTATTTATTTCACCTATAAAAATTAATGTTATTATTTAAATAAAATTACGATATAATATTATTTTTTATAAATTATAATAATTATTGTACTTATTATATTATAAGGTTGGTAAATCACATAGGTACTCAATTATATCTTTTTTATGTCGTTCATAAAATATCTCTAGATAGTTATGTAGGTAATTGGCTGGGCAGCCTGGGCTTGAAGATTATTTAAACAGTTTTGAAAATGATTGGATGTTTTTTAATTTCCCTACTACCATCCCTTAATAATATATATCGACATATAGATACATACATAAATATATTTATTACTTATATTAAATGTATGATCATAAATTTTATATTTCTATCATTTAGGATAATATACTAATGGTAAAATATAACCCTACTCACTACTGTGAAGGTTATACTACTACTCGTGTCAAACTCCCATATTTTGAGCCTATAAGCTACAAGCGACTAAATCGTAGGTATTTTCGTTATTTTTATGTTACTAAAATTATTTTAAGAATAACGTTATATTAAAAGTAATTCATTTAATTAAAAATACTTTTAGGTACATGGACAAATATTAATATTTAATTAAAATGTAAAACCCAAAAATTCTTGTTCGGTTTTAATAAGCCACTGTCTAAATTAAGAACCCCATATATTATAAACCCATGAACATGGATATTTATTTTTAATATTAAGCAATAATAGTAGAGTAGGTACCTACACACAAATTATAGACAAAATACCTCAGTCACTCCACTATATTTTACAAGTGTTTATGTGTATCTACAGTACTGAGTACACTATATTGCTATTGAAATTCAAAGTGTTGTGAAAATTTGCATTAAAAATTACCGATCAACCGACAATTAGTATTGAATGGTCAAATGAAAAGTACCTACTGTTGATCGATTTATACAAAGAATCGCCAAATCTTTGGAACACCAAACACAAGGACTATAGGAATCGATACATAAGACAAGATAGTTTGCTAGAAATTAGCAAACATATGGTACTTACGTCAAAAGAAGAAGTTGACCGAAAATTAAAAAAATTAATTTGTCACTTTTGGCGTGAAGTGAAAAAGTAAGCAACAGCGTTTTGGGGATGGTGCTGATGAAGTTTACTGCTCCAAATGGTTGCTTTCAAAAGCTTCGAGTTCTTGAAGAATAGAAATGACGGTCGACCAACTATCGAAACTGGCACCGTACAGGTATGCATCATAAATACATTGTATTTTTTTTTATTAAAAACGTAAATAAGCGAACATGTTAAAATTATATCTCGTTTATCACAAATCGCAACACGGTCATCGGCAACAATGCTGACTGGTTTTATTATTAGACTTATATTTTGTAAACACGCCGCGTAGTGTCGTCGCGTTGCCGTTGTCGGACATAATCACCAGTCAATTGTGCGCTAGTGCCCATATAATATCATTTCGTAATTCGCGTTCCGTACATTTATAAATTAAAATTTTCATTTCATTACAATTTATAAATTTTAATAGGCTGAAAAGTCGAAGCACTATTCCAACTTTAATAAAAACATGGATTGCTCTTTATAATACAACAGACGAAACCATTTTTACCACGGACGGCGCTGTAGTGTTTTGTCAATTGTGTGACAAAAAAATTTCAATTACAACAACACGTCGATACCGCTTTACATAATAGTCTTTTACAACGTAGAGGAAATGAAAAAAAATACAATTAGTTGTATTGGATGCAAAACCGAAATCCGGTAACGTTTTTAATGAGGATCTTTGTGCAGCTTTGGTAGTACCTATCTAATATACCTACCTTGGAATAAACTTCAAATTCCCGAATTCAAGAATTTTTTGGAGAAGTATACAGGTAAGCATATTCCTGACGAGAGTACATTAAGGCAAAATTATCTTGGTCCATGTTATGATAGTGTTGTTATTGCAATCAGAGAAGTTATTGGCAACTCAGATATTTGGATTGCTGTTGACGAAACAACTGATACAAACGGCCGCTACATTGAAAATTTAATAGTTGGCGTTTTAAAACATGATATACCAAGTCAACCCTATCGTTTAGCATGTAAAGACCAATCACTCTACAGTAGTTCATTAATGACAACTTAAAAATATTATGGCCTGCAGGGGGAAACGATGAAAACCTACGGTTGTTTTTATCAGATGCAGCACCATATATGGTCAAAACAGGAGATTCATTAAAGGTATTTTACCCAAATATCGTTCACGTAACATGTGTAGCACATATGTTAAACAGAGTGGCAGAAAAAGTTAGAGAATTGTTCCCTTTTGTAAACAAATTGATTAACAATGTAAAAAAATGTTTTTTTAAAGTCACCTTCCCGTATTCAACTTTATAAAGAAACCCTACCCGGTTTGCCATTACCACCTGAACCAATAATTACCAGATGGGGTACATGGATAGAAGCAGTTATATTTAATGCAAATAACTATGAAGGTATTAAAACTGTAATAGAAAAACTAGACAATGATTTGTCAGCAAGTGTAGAGAGTTGTAACAAAATGTTCAATTTGCCTACAGTAAAAAATGATTTAGCATTTATAAAAATTAACTTTTCTGGACTCATTCAGGCAATTATAAATTTAGAAGATACTAAATTGACTTAAGTACAATCATTAAAGATTATGAAAAATATAATTTCAGAACTATCAAATATATAGGGCGACAAAGGTTCTATTATAAAAACTAAAATAACTCAATTGAATCAAAAAAATAAAGGGTTTCAAGTAATGGAACAAATTGGACTAATTATTTCTATCAAGTAACAATGAAATACAACTTCCAGAAAACTTCAACCCTTGCTCTGTGGCCAACATGAAGTATGCACCACTGACATCAGTAGATGTGGAAAGATCGTTTAGTGATAGAAGGACAAATATGACACCTGAGCAGCACATGGAAAAATATATTATTGTCAACTCTTTTTATAAAAATTAAAAATCATACATTGTATCTATTTATCAAAATATTTTTTATTAAGAGGTAACAAAATTATGTTTTTATTGGTTTAAATTGTTTTTTTTTTAATAAAATGTCTTTATTTTGTATTTTTTTTTCATAAATATGTACCAAAGATATGGTATAAGTGGATTTAATACATTTTTATTTTTTATTATTCTTAATTAAAGTATTTGTTTTATTTATTGAATATATTTTTAAATATTTACTGTTCTTTAATAAATGTTTAAAGTCGATGTCTATAATTAAAAAATTAAGTTTATCTAATTTTGTTGAATTATTATTTATGGAAGAAATTAAAAAAATATATTAAAATGCATATATTTTGGGTATAAGAGCATATTTTTCATATTATTAAAAAAAATAAGAGCATATCAAGTGCATATTTTGAAGTTTTTTTATGCATAAATGCATACTATTTTGGCCTTTTTGAGTGCATACAAATCTGGACTCTAATTATAACTATTCTATAAGCTATCTACTTTTAATATGTTAATATCTAACAGTATGACAGTTTACTCCGTAACAGTTGGCCCCATGCTCCAGGCCCTATCACCTATTTTTAATATATTGATAGTCTTAAAAACAAAATTATTGGTTTATGATTTAGGTAATATGGAAGGTATTATTGAATCCCCGGTAATTGCTGCAAGTATAGATAGAGAGGACAAAAAAAATTATAGTAGAGAATGTTTCATAAGTGGTGAATCTTAAAATGGAAAAAGTGACGAGTGGACAGTATTTAGTCATGTGTTGTATGCAAATACTGATAAAAGAACTGGTTATGTTAGCTGTAACAAATGTAAAATTGTACTAAGTAATTTACCTGGTACTGGTACATCCCACTTAAAACGGCACAAATGCGCAGTAGTAACAAAGGGAAATGCTAGTAGGTATGGATGAGTTAGTGATAAAAAAAAATTAAAATAAAGATTCCAGAAAAAGTGTCACATGATGCAGTCGATGAATGTGTCAAATGTTGTGCTTTAGACTTGAGGTAATTTCCAGCTATCAATGGTGATGTATTTAAGTCATTGTGTCAATTTCTAGTAAGCACAGGTGCGAAATATGGTGCGGTGGCTGCAAATGACGTGCTACCTAACCCAACTATACATGTGAGGATGAATTATCCATGTACCAATTGGAACATTATGAACCGAATCAAGATGTATTGCAATGGTGGAAAGAACGACAAATAAAAAGTCCTATGATGGCCAAATTGGCAATGAGGATATTTGCCATACCTGCTACAAGCGCCGGAAGTGAACGTGCCTTTAGTACTTCCGGACGAGTAATCGAAGAAAGGAGGACATGCTTAAAGGGGGATACAGTAGAGTCAATTTTGTTTTTAAGTGATTATTATAAAAAATAAATGTAAATACAATATTATATAAGTAATAAGTATAATAAATAATATTTACAAATGTACAAATTATTATTATTCTATGACTTGTATACTGTAAACAATATAATATATACATAAGTACATTATACTGTATATTTGTATTTAATAAATAATAAATGTTGAAAAGTTGAATACTTTATAAATAATTTTTATATATAAGGGCCCTTCACCGAGCCTGGTTGTTAACGAACTACAGTTGTCAATCACTTACTCCCATCTTCTTTTCCTATACCTCCTGTTGGCAACACTGTTTGTGTTCTGAGGGTTAAGTTCAGGCACAGCACTGAGGGAGTGATGAGTAGTGTAGTTGCGACATGCACCGAGTATGCGTCTGAGTCCGAGTCTGAGTCTAAATCCTAAGTATTGTAAAATATGATAGTTATAATAAATAATATTGTTTTCTTTAGCTAAATCTGGTTGTTCAACTTTATTGAGATAATTTAGTGTTTTCTAACAAGTCAGAAGTGGGATAGACACCGTAAAACTCGCCGCCGGAAAGTACGAAAAGTGCGTTGTCTAATCGCGTAGAGTGAAGTTGTGTGTGCGAAATTATTAACCATCCGACCATCGGTCTATTGTTCGTAAGTACGAAATCAACTGCCGTAGTGCTGTCCAAGGACTGCCGACTGAGTGCAAAACGGCGATTTGCAAGGTAAAGAAACACGTGGTTGGCGTGTCATAGGGGAACGAATTGTCATAACCTCAAATAGACGTTACCCCGCGTATCACTTGTCGATACCAGAACCTGTACGATAACGGAATCGAGCTTATCACTTTATCAGTGTAATCAAACTGTGATAAAAACGAGAAATGTCAACAAAATTCAACGACATCGAGAATAAGTAAGTAACGTTCGTATTTTACAATACGCGATGGCTGACGGAAGTAACCAAATGGGTCCAACACAAGCAGCGGTTCACGAAATATTGCGTCAGCTGATCCAGCAGAATAATACGCGGGATCAGCAAGTCATGAACATCTTGGAGAATATAGCGAGTCAGCGAGCTCAACCAGTACTAGCGACGGGTACCATACCGAATTTAAACGCAACAATCGGAACATTTGATGGGGAATCTGACGATGCAGGCCACGCACAAGGATGGATTTCATCACTAGAAACTACTGCGTTACTTAATCAATGGCCCGACTTGTATAAGTTAGAAGCAGCGCGTTCACATTTGACTGGTGCTGCCAGAAATTGGTACCTAGCTAGACAATCTGAAATTGAAACATGGGCAAAATTCAAGGAACAATTTGAACAAATGTTTACGACAGCGATTAGTGTGTCGGAACAGTGGAAACGACTACAAGCTAGAACACAGCAACGAAACGAAACCGTTTATGCGTATTTCCACGACAAAATGCCTATGTGTCGACAGCTGAAATTGAGCAAGTCGGAGAGCAAGAAACTGATGTGTATGGGATTACACTCTAAGGATATGTGCAACGTCCTTATGAGTAGAACTCACAATGAAGAATATGAGGTATTGCAAGACCTACGAGAGTGTGACGAAGTGTTTCAAAGCCGAAACGAACGTTTCAAATCGACATCAAATAGTAAGTCCACACTTAGTAAAGAGGAAAATTTTAAAATAAAACTAACCCCATGAAAAGTCCGTCGACGCAAACACAACCAATAAAACCAGTTATGCCGGCAGCTTTCAAACGAGAAAACCCCGAGGTGAAATGTTATAATTGTCAGTTGTTAGGTCATATCGCGCGAGATTGTCCACAACCGCGGCGACCGTTAAAATGTAGTAAATGCAAAGCGGAAGGACACACAGCCAAATACTGTACTACTCGATCGCCGGATATAGCATTGGTAGAGCAGAACCAGACTGACAATCGGACAGTGTATATTAAGGATGTATATCTGAATAATAGTACGGATGCGATCAAGGGATTGGTGGACACCGGTAGTACCCTCACCATAATCAGACGAAGTCTAGCGGAGCGATATGGTATGGATATCACACCCCGAAAAATACAACTAAGAGTGTACGGTAACATACCATGTGTAATCGGTAGCGGTGACACCGAAGCTGAGGTAAGAATTGACACTGTGTCAGAAAAAATAAAATTGTTAGTGGTAGAGGATCACATGCAGAACTTTGACATTATCATCGGGCGAACGTTCATTAACTGTGCAAATGTATCGTTTATCAAAACTGCGGATCAACTCATATTTGCTTACGATATGCCATTGCCCTTCACCAACGAACCGGACGAAGCGCTCAGCGAACAGAGACCTTTTACTCCAGTAACGGTACACGAGTTACACGAGATACCAGCAGCAAGTGTGAAAATGGTAGAGGTGGATGTGAACTCAGCTATTGTAGAAGTGTTGATGGTGAATCATGGTGATGAACCAGTTCAGTTGAAAAAGGGGACACAAGTCAAACGCCTACACATGGCAGTGCAGCAATCGGGACCAAGTCAGCCATACGAAGAACCAATAACCAGGGAAAAGGTCAAGTACAACCCACATTTCACTGAACATGAAGTAACACAATTAATTAATTTGTTAACCGAGTATAGAAAATGTTTTGCGTTCAATATGTTTGAAGTAGGGTGCACAAAAGCAATTACCATGGATATTGTTGATAACAACGTACCTGTCAACAGTAAACCTTACCGTGCCAGCGCTCAGGAAAGGGACACCATTGATCGAATTGTGCGAGAGTGGAAGGCAGCAGGGATAGTCAGAGAAAGCGAATCACCGTATGCGTCTCCAGTATTACTCGTAACAAAGAAAAGTGGTGAACCTCGTTTAGTCGTGGACTATAGGAAACTAAACTCCCAAACAGTGAGGAAAGTCTATCCGACGCCAAACATGGATGACCATTTGGAAGTTTTAACAGGGGCTAAAATGTTCTGCACTCTTGACCTAGCATCAGGTTACCTACAAGTACCATTGACCGAGGAAGCCAAAGCTAAAACAAGTTTCATAACACCAACCGAAAAGGGTGAGTGTGAAAGAATGGTTTTCGGGTTAATTAACGCCCCATACGAATTTTCACGTTTAATGGAAAAAGTTATGCAGCATCTAGAACGTGATGTAGCAATGTGGTATTTAGATGACATATTAATACCAGCAAGAAGTTTCGAAGAGATGATGATCAGATTAAGGAAAGTATTGGATGCGTTAAGTTCCGCAAGTTTAACTCTAAAACTTGAAAAATGTCACTTTGGATATGAGGAGGTAACATATTTGGGTTTCAGATTATCAACGCATGGAATCAAACCAGGAGAAGACAAAGCAGCAGCCATACTGAAAATAGAACACCCAACCAATCGACATGAAGTGAGACGATTCTTGGGTTTGACCGGATTCTTCAGAAGATTTGTGCCACAGTATGCGCAAATAGCCAAACCACTGACCGAGCTGACTAAAAATTCAGTACCATTCGAATGGGGACATTCGCAACAGGAAGCATTTGACACACTAAAGGTAAAACTTACCAGTAATCCAGTCTTACAATTATTTAACCCAAATGCTTGTACGGAATTACATTGTGATGCCAGTCAACAAGGGTTGAGTGGACTACTACTACAGCGAAGGAACGAAGACAAGTTACTACATTTAGTCTATGCTGTGTCTAAGAAAACCACCACAGCAGAAAGAAACTATCATGCGGGAAAACTAGAACTCATGGCAATAGTTTGGAGCGTCACCCGTTTAAGACATCTACTGATAGGAATGCAGTTCATCATAGTGACAGATTGTCAGGCTATAGTGCATCTCAACACTAAGAAAACAGTAAATCCACAAGTAGCTCGATGGGCAAACTTGCTAAGTGAATACAACTATGAGATACGTCACAGACCAGGGATTAAGATGGCCCACGCAGATGCTTTGTCTAGAGCTCCCGTGAATACATCAACAGACACTGAAGTAGAACTTGAAGAGCTAGAGATCATGATAACAATGACTGCAGAGGAACACATAATAACAATGCAAAGAAGTGATGAAAACATATGTTCACTAATCAAAATAATGACAAAATCAACTGAAGATTGATCATTAAATGAACAACGTGAAGTTAGGGATTATGTCATGCGTCAGGGCATAGTGTATAAAAGAGTCAGGATTCAAGGAGAAGAACGCCAACTATGGGTTGTTCCAAACGCAATGCGGAAGAGTATAGTGGTGCAGAATCATGACATGGCTGGACATTTCGCACTTGACCGAACGGTTGCGAAGATCTTGGAGCGGTACTACTTTGCCCGAATGAGGAGTTATGTGCGAGTTCATATCAGATGCTGCCCAGAGTGTATACTAACTAAAATACCAAGAGGCCGACCACAGGGAGAACTCCATCCGATACCACCTGGAAGAAGACCATTTGAGGTGATACATTTAGATCACATAGGACCCTTTGTACGATCAACTGCAGGGAAAAATTACATACTAGTTTTAGTGGACAATTTGACCAAATATGTCAAGTTATACCCAGTGCGAGCTTGTAATGCTGAAGCAGTCATAAGAAGTTTACAACAGTTCATATTAAACTATGGAGTACCTAAGAAAGTCATCAGTGACCGAGGAACAGCTTTTACAGCCCGACAATTCGGCGAATTCTGTATGAGTAAAGGCATAAATCACATACTAACATCCGTACGACATCCGCAGTCTAACGGACAGGTTGAGCGGGTTAACTCAACATTAGTACCAGTATTGCAAGCAAATATGCAGAACGATAATACATGATAAGAATATACTTGAGGTGGAGAGTCAACTCAACAATGTGCAGAATAAAACCACAGGGGAAACACCATTTCGATTGTTACACGGATATTATCCAAGTTTCCATGATGGAATACTAAGACATTTAGTAACTGAGGAACAACCAACGGATGTAACTAAACTGCAAGAAAAGGCCAGAGAAACAATTGAAAAAGAACAAAGAGTATGGAAGACCAGATATGATGCCAAACACATTACACCAGCCCAATATAAAGTAGGGGAAGTGATTTTTCTGAGAACACCACCCAAACACACCGGACAACCAACCAAACTGCAGCCAAAGTATAGAGGACCGTTTGTAGTCAGTAAAGTGCTACCCAATGATACATATCAGATAACTGATGTTATAGTTAAAGACGGACGGCAATACAGGACAACTGTACATGCAACACACATGAAAGGGTACAAACTGGGACCAGATTCAGATGATATAGGAGAAGAAGTAGACAATACCAGTCAGGAAGGAGAAGAGGGAACTGAAACTGAAGACCAGAGACAACAGGAAACGGATGCAGTCAAACCAGAGTCACCAACCAGGACTAGAGCGAGGAAACCGCCTAAATGGATGGAAGATTATGTTTAAAAAAAAAAAAAATACCATAATTTTGTACTTATACTTGTTTAAATATCTATAATTATTATTATTTGAATTAATGACTGTGAATGTTAATGAATAAGCTGATAGTCATAAGATAATTATTATATGTTGCTATATATTTGTAAAAAAAATTAATATTACATGTAGAACTCAGCGAGGACGCTGACTCAAAGGATGGCCGAATGTTGGCAACACTGTTTGTGTTCTGAGGGTTAAGTTCAGGCACAGCACTGAGGGAGTGATGAGTAGTGTAGTTGCGACATGCACCGAGTATGCGTCTGAGTCCGAGTCTGAGTCTAAATCCTAAGTATTGTAAAATATGATAGTTATAATAAATAATATTGTTTTCTTTAGCTAAATCTGGTTGTTCAACTTTATTGAGATAATTTAGTGTTTTCTAACACTCCTAATTAAAATGATTGTAACACTTATATCTATATATTATGTTATATCATGTATATAAAAAAAATAATAATAATAATTGTCGAGCTATTATAGTTGTAATAACTGAAAGCTAATAAAAATAAAAATAAAAAAACCAAAAAGAAAAGCGACTTATACTTTTAACCGGGTATTACTATTTAAAAAAAAAACAAATTGCTCAAAAAAGTCGTGCGAAAAGACTTTGGGTTCATCCTTTGATAGCTCAAAGATCATTAAAAGGAGCATTTTCCATGATGTTTTATGACCTCCACCAACACAAAGACAAATTTTTGAATTATTTTCGGATGTCCATCAAAAGTTTTGACGAACTACTACATAAACTCGAACCAAAGTTGAAGCGTTCTTAATTTATTCAAATGATCTTTTACCATTTTGATATCATTAGTGGATCTTTTATTTTTAGGTTGACCACTACCTCTCTTGCCAGGTGAACATGTATTTTCTGGAGAAGTTAAATAATTATTACAAATATTTGTTAAAAACCCTTTTTTCTCACCAAAGATTTTTAAAAAACACACTTTACAAACCGGTATATTATTTCCATCTTTTGGTATTGCATAATGGAATACCTTCTCTCTATTTTTTGCTTTTCTGGTGTATCTCTTCTTTTCCTTACAACCTTCTTATTAGAGCTAGTAATCAAGCTTGATTAATAAGCTCTACATCTGTTACAATCATTCATACACCAATATAAATTAAATAATTGTGTACGTAAATTATCATCAACTATTGCTTTGCAGTTATTTCTACAGTTCGAAAGAGATTCTGATGTTCGAGCTAAGACTTGTTTCCCTTTATTTGTAGTGTACTCTAACCCATGATTTCTATTTTTCTTCCTATACTGTCTATAGTGCCTAGTATCATTTTTTCTGCTTATTTTTTTCTTTCTATTTTCACTGATATCTTCTATGTTGTTATCTTCAGTAACATGGTTGGACTCAGGTGGGCCCATAACAATACTCGGTCCTCCATCTGAATCCTGCATATTATGCATTTGAAATATGTTGGTTGAGTTAGTTGTATAAACACTTTGCTCATCTGGAATTATATCTGTACAAAACACTTCCTCTTGGTAAATTTCACCAACAAACAAATATTCATCCTAGAATATTTAATTTTTCAAATATAATTCAAAATAAAAAACATATTACTTACATTTTATTTATTATTATGTAATTATGTATGATTAGTGATTACATACATACATAATAGTTTAAGGATGGTGGAGAGATGGGAAGTTAAATTATAATTTGTGAAATTGTTTAGAAAATATACCATAGAATTGTAATAAATTACAAAAATACTTTTTAATGAAGTATGTTCTATTTCTATTGAACATTAATATTAACTATTTTAATATAAAACATAAAATAAAATTGAATAAAACAATGTTTTAATATAATGTATTTTTTATTCAAATATTAACCAACCTGAACTATAATATTATTATCAATGTCCTTCGATAAAGGGGAGTCTGATTCCTTTTCTAATTCATTGTTGATTTCCATGATATAATCTACCCCATTAAATTCAATGGTCTGTTCTCTAGATGTTAAACATTCGACACCATTCATCTGTTATGTATAAACAAAAAACGCAGTTTAAAACATATAATACATTACAATTAATAATGATAGAAGTTGATTGGAACATCACTAAAACTTACATCCAAATTTTGTTTTATATTACTACCAGCAGCTGATGTTTTTTCTATCCATTCCTTAAAAGTCAATGAAATATTCAATTAAAACTATGTATTGATTCAATTTTCAACTATACAATATAGGTACCTATTTAAATTAAGCTAAATATTTTCAATAAAATTCTACATATCTATTGAAACAGTATTTTTTGTCGAAAATGAAGTTAATTAAATGATATATAATACTGTGGAAAAATAAATCTATAAAGTATACAGTAATACTATTCTATTTATCTAAAAATGAAGGGCTAATAATCACCAGTTTAAGACATAAGCTTACCTACTTCTTACTCCATTTAACCAAAATCTATTATCTTACTAATCCGTACTGTTGATTGTAAAAAAAAAAAAATCATTAAATAATTACATATTAAATTAGACTTAACAAGTTTATTAATTTACTATATATACTTAAGTTTGGAATAAAAGATATTTTAACTAAAAACAACAGCATGTTTAATATTATCTAATAATATTTAGAGTTAAGTTACTTAACATTAAACAATACCTAACAAATAGGTAGTTAACAAAAATATAAAAATTTTTACCTATTTATGCTAAATACTATGTGACTATTAGTAGGTATCTATACTAATTTCTAATCCAATAATAACTTAATTAATTTACTTACTGATATACGGGATTTTGTATCCAGATTATGTTCCTTTTTAGATTTCATAAAATCGTTCAGTAGGTTTCTGAAAACCAATTTTTTCTTATTTTGCTTATTATTTTTATTTTGTGTGCAATGGCCATCTATACCTATTGTAAATTGTAATTAAACATTTTTATGTAATATAACCTAATATTAAAATATACACTTTATAGAATGTATATTGTATAGGTATGCTATAATCATTGTCACAATATAGTGTATTTTGTTTCAAAATATATACCTAATATACTTTAAATCAATTAAATTAAAACAAGTATTAAAACTCAAATCAGGTTTTACTAAATGAATTAATACACAGGTAATACACTAATACACAATTTACTATTAAAGTAATAGTAAATATTAAAAAGTAATAGTTTTATATTAAAGTTTTACTAAATACTTACTATACTCCGGCCCACGAGAGAGTATTACCGTTGCCCGACGAAAACTCGTCCGATTCCGCGCATTCCTCACTACTCGGCATGTGCCGACAACTGTTCCTTACCGGTCGGCAGCGCTCAACGCTATACGGTGTATAGCGGTCGCGGAAATAGTACGTACGTTTTGCCAGCCCCAACCCCCCCCCAAAGGAAAAACTGTAAACAAACTATACAGATATTTAGCACGTAATTCGCACGAATTCGCACGCCCGGTTTGAAAATTCGCACGACCTTCCTCCCCTCCAAAAACAAAAAAATCATTTTTTGTCAAGACAGATTTTTTATTCAATCAAGATATTTTCCATTGTACTTAGAATATCTTCTTATTAAATACAGTTGTCTATTAAGTTTTTTATTTAATATGGATTGTATATTAAAAATAGATTTTTTTTATTAACTAGGTACAGGACGTGTTTTACTAAAGTTTTTTTT